ACACTGTTACTTCTAACAAACGCTGAGTCAGCATTCACACTGTTACTTCTAACTTCAACTTTTAGATCATGTTTTGCCACTTTTAACTTTTAGTTATTGTTTTTTAACTTTTAGTTATTGTTGCTACATTAAGGCTTTGAGGTACAGCTCTACTGCCTTTAGCTTTTATTCTTCTGCCACTTATCATCTTGCCAATTTAGCTACTATTTTGCAACTTTTAGATCATGTTTTGCCACTTGTAGCTTTTAGTTTTAATGTGGCTATTTTAATCTTTAAGCTACTATTCTACTACTTTCTGCTATATTTGGCTTTTAGCTACAGTTTTGCCACTTTTAAGGTAATTACAATTTAGCTACTTTTACTTTTTCTGCACTCGCTCTCGTGCAAGGCGGATGCCTTTTCTCTCCCTCTCCCGTCCTCCTCCTGCTTTTTATCTGCTCTCTGTCTGTGTATCGGAGCTCCTCTTACACATCTTTTGAAACAAAAACTACTGCCATGGATCTGGTCAGCTGGACTTCCAACGCAATCGCCAAAATCTTTTCAACAAAGCGACAGGGTCCTGGAGAGCCCTCATGCCCCGCTGAGACTCACGCTGTAGGATACGTCACGGACCCGTGGGGAGTTTGGGAGCTGATGTGTCTTTATGTTTTGTATCAGGAGGATGCCGAAGAGGTTTACATAATTGGATTCATCACAGCAGGGCTTTTACTTTTTGGCATCGGCAGGTTCCTATGTTATCGGCTATTAAGGAAGACGAAGGCAGCAGTTCTAGCAATGGCAAAACTGCCGAGTCTGAGTTAAGGTTTGGTTTGTGCTTCGAGTACTCAAAATCAGCTGATTTACAAGCTAAACCGTAAGATGGACGCAATTTGTGAGAATTGCAGTCCACCTGCAGTTTCTGGTACTCGCCAGCATGTTGGGGACGACCTTGGAGAGCCTCGTAGGCACGGACCAGTGGAATGCCTACAAATCTGGCCATTTTGGATCTTGAAAGTACCAGCAGGACTCAAGGCTGACAAGAAAAAAACAGTCTGCCTGAAAGAATCAACAATTGTGGCTTATCTGAATCTGACTCCCCCGGTTGGCCTCGAAAACAGGCCGACTTGTCAAATTTCTCCTGGGATATGTGTAAACTAAGGAAAAGCTTTGTCTATCGCAACTCCTGATAACTTCTGTGAAGGCTTATCAGAACTTTTTGTAATGCCACTATCCTATCCTCATGGTCTTTTCCTCTTTTCTATAAAAGTATTCTGAAAAAGAATAAGGGTCTGCGCTCCAGCAGCAGCAGCTACGTGCACGCCGCCCATCTTTTGGACGACTATACAAACATAAGTACTCTGTATTTCGGTACAATGATAATAAAGCTTTTTGTGATCTAGGTACCGGTATGCAGCTTTTAGCTAGGAATGCATATCACCATTGGCACCTTTCATGTCAGACGTTTAGAGCAGGAAATGAGAGACTTGTAGCCGTCAAACCTTGAATTACTTGTATGGGCGTTTTCGGGCAATATCATGTGTTGACACTAGGAGGATGTGTTCTCAAAGACTCTCAGCTACTACCACTCCAACGTCTAGTTCAACATAATTGATCATTTTTAATTTCCTAAGATCAGTTAGCTGTGGCAGCCATGTTGAACTACATCCAGTAAATGACTCAACATTCACACAGCAAGGCTAAATGAGCACAACGAGTCAGAAAGCAGCCTGTTGAGTTGAACAAGTTCTGTTTGTACCTGGAGATGTCTCTGTGCGGACTGCACGGGATCTGACTCCCAGACCTTCTGTGGAAGGGTTCTGATGCAGAAGGGGAGTTCCTCTGCTCGGAGCAGGACTTTGAAAAAGAACAAGGACTCGTCCTGTCGTGTCTTTTCTCACTGGCGTTGTCCTTGTTGGAGCTGTCCTGTTTGTGAGGAAAAGCAAAACGTCTTCCATCATTTTAGAAGTTTCTGTCTGAAGCAGGAGAACAGAAAGGCTGAGGAACTCAACATGGACAGGTCTCCAGTCCATCACAGGGACACATAGAGACAAACAATCATTCTCTCTCTCACCTAGGGACAATTTAGAGTTACCAATCAGCCTAACATGCATGTTTTTGGTCTGTGGGAGGAAACTGGAGTACTCGGAGAAAACCCACGCATGCACGGAGAGAACGTGCAAACTCCACCCAGAAAGGCCCCTGGACCGGGATTTGAACCGGGGACCTGCTCGCTGAGAGGCAGCAGCTCTACCAGTTGTGCCACCGTGCTGCGCGTAGTTAACATATTGAATGTTAGAACTAAGAAACTGTTCCATTTTCAGGACAAGTTTTTTTTCTGTTCAAAAGTCCTGTTGGCTCTTTTGTTTCAGACGCTGGTAAACCCCTGCCCATCTTTACTTTTAGAGGTTCAGCCTGTCTAAAATGCTGGTTATGCGGCAGCTTGGCCCAGCGAGTAGGGAACCCACCCCCCAAACGGAGGGTTCGAGGTTCGATCCCCAGCCCCGGCAGTGTGTCCAAGGGTCTTTGGACAAGGCATTGACCCTCCTCTGTCCCCCACGTTTACCGGTGCATGAGCGAGACACAAAAAGTGCTGTATACAGTGTGTACAAATATATAATAGGAAAAGCACAGTATGAATAGGTGAGCACACTGTAGAGCAATTTGTAGAACCTGAAGAGGTTCTGATCCTGAAGAACCAGCTGAACCTTCTGATCCATTGTCTCTACCTGTTTTGGGATAATATCAGGCAGCTCCTCCCGTCGTCTCAGTGACTGATCACGTCTATCGATTCTCTGCTTCGATACAACCTCAGAGTCAGAGTCGGACGAGTTTTCTCCACTTTTACGTCTCTTCTTCTTCTTCTTCTTCTTCTTTTTCTTCTTCTTCTTTGAGGAGTGCTCCTTGTGGCACCTGGACTTGCTTTCATGATCCTCACCTAAACAAAAAGTTCAGAACTTCTGTCACACTCTCATGTAGACAGATTAAATTCACTCCATTTAAATTCACAACCAAAACTGATCTCAGAGCACTGTTCAAAAACATTTTGTACATTATAAAAAGACAACTGGTACAAGTTACGCATTTAAGGAAGCTAGTAAGATTTTGAATTTTATTCTGAACTTGACAGAAACCAAACGGAGAGAAGCTAAAACTGGAGAAGTATGATCCCCTTCTAACTCTCATCAGAAGTCTGGCAGCAGCATTTTGATCCACTGAAGACTGTTTCGAGTTGCTGCTGGTGTGGGTTTACTTATAGCCTCCAGCTTGGTGCCTGTGTGTTGGAGCTTTCACCAGTAGATGAGAAGGTAGCTGCCCTACACCTTTGGGTGGAGGGACAGGCTCTGACTGTTGTTTGTGCCTTTGTGTTGAACAGCAGTTCAGAGTAGCAGCCTTCTTGGAGTCATTAGCGGTGATGCTGAAAGGTGCTCCACCTGAGGACTCCATCTGTGGGTCTTCAATACCCCCAAAGAGAGAGACAGCATGACTTGGGGGAGCGTGATTGGGAGGAACGGCCTCTCTGATCTGAACCCAAGTGGGTGTTCCATTGTTGGACTTCCGTGCTACTCATGACTTGTCCATCACAAACTCCATGTTCGAACAAGAGCGTGTCCATAAGTGCACATGGCACCAGGATACCCTTGGCCGCAGATCGATGATTAACTTTGTTGTTGTGCTGTCTCATCATTGACCATTTATGTTGAAGACTCTGATGAATAGAGGAGCTGAGCTGGACCCATTCAGACGAAATGTGTAGTGAGGGTTTGCTTGGAATGCCTGACTGAAGAAACTCAAAAAGATCTTCAATTCCCACTTCTGACTGAGCTTTAACCACATATCAGTAGAAGCAGGGGACACTGAGTGGGCCATGTTCTGCTCTTCCATGTTTCAGGCAGCTGCTCTAAGCTGTTGCCACAAGGTTGTTGGTGCCTCTCATGGTGGCCATCCTCAAATCCTTAACTGGGGCTTAGGTCAAAGAGGTAGCTAAAAAGCGCAGAGGGGACAGGATTCAGGGGGTTGAATAAGATTCACCCTGAGTTGATCAAGGCACTTGATTATGCTGGGCTGTCTTGATTGACACACCTTTGCAACATAATTCAATTTAAATTTAAATTCAGATTATTTATATAGTGCCAAGTCACAACAGAAGTCATCTCAGGGCACTGAACAAAAACGTCCACAAACATAAAAAGTCAATTAATACTGTTATTTATCTAAGGAGCCGGCAGACTGCTTTGAATCTTCACTTTGTCGCAGTCTCCCATCCTGCGCAAGCACAAAGGCAACAGTGGAAAGGAAAAACTCCATAGCATGTAGATCTGGTGCAGTGCCACTTCATTGGCAGACTGGAGTGGTGGTTCCCCTCCTCAAAAAGGGGGGACCACAGGGTGTGTACAATGAAATTACATTTCTCAGCCCTCCTAATAAAAGAGCGCTAGAAAAGAGAGTCCAGTCAGTGGTCGAACCTCGGATTGAGGAGAAACAATGTGGGTTTTGTCCCAGCCATGGAACACTGGATCAGCTCTTTTTTTTTACCATTGCTAGGGTCCTAAAGGGGCACTGGAGTTTGCCCAACCAATCTTCATGTGTTTTTAAACTTGGAGAAGGCATCTGACCAAATTCTCTGAGGTACCCTGAGGGGGATGCTCCATGAGTATACAGTGTTTCCCCTACCATTATACAAGCGGGGCGCCCCGCCCCGTCAACAGAACCGAGTGCCCCGCCTACCAAACCAAACTGCGCCCACCTCCCCCACCCGTCGCCACTGACCACAGATGTAGTGTTAAGCTAGCGGCGTGTTAGCTAAAGGCAGAAGTTAAAGGCAGCACACACACACCCTCTCGCTCGAAAACTGTTGGTACAAAATACAAACTGCGTGCAGGTCAGATGTCTCCATTCCCCCTCCTCCACACAACGCCCCCCCCGGACAAAAATCATGAACGAGATGAGCGCCCTGCCATGGCAAGTTATCTAGAGAAAACGCTGGTATAGGAGTGGGAGTACGTTGCTACGGGCCATTCGGTAACTATCCACAGTGAAAGCGTGTTGTTCACATTGGCAGCAGTGAATTGGACTCTTCAGGGTCAGACACCAGGGCTGTCTGTTGTCACAGATTTTGTTCATAACTTTAATTAGATATCCTGATCCTCAATAATCCTTAATGGATCAATGGAAATAAAAGCATTTATAGACAAGACGTTTATCTCCTGCAGAGCAAATTTATGATGTCGGGAATCGAGAATTATTGGCTGTTAAACTAGCGTTGGAAGAACGGCGTCATTGGTTGGAGGGTACAGAGGTTCCTTTTATGATTTGGACTGACCATAAGAACCTCACATGTGACGCTCAACGCCTCAACCCAAGACAGGCTCGTTGGTCTCTGTTTTTTGTCCGTTGTAACTTTGTGCTGACTTACAGGCCTGGTTCTACGAATGCAAAGCCCCATGTCCTCTCTCGACAGTTCTCATCTCCCGATGGCCCCAAACGAGAGGAGGGGATTCTTCCCCGTACCTGCATGGTAGGAACTCTGACCTGGGCCATTGAGGAAGAGACTCGTTCAGCTCAGAGACCAGGACCTGCTGGTACCTTGTTCATTCCTTCTGCAGCTAAAACTAAGGTAATGGACTGGCTTCATTCGAGCAAACTATCCCGTCACCCTAGTGTTTCTTGCACGTCTTCTCTCATCAAGAGATGTTTTTGGTGGCCGTCCATGACACAGGACATTAAAGACTTTGTGGCTGCCTGTCCTACCAGCGCTAGGAACAAGTCGGGCAACCAACCCCTAGCTGGGTTGCTGCAACCACTTCCCACCCCCAGCCGCCCACAGTCCCACGTTTCACTCGATTTCATCACTGGACTGCCTCTAATACGGTTCGTGCTTCAGCCTTCTAGTGTTTCTCTGAGCCTGGTTAAGACTAACATTGTGATTCTTCTCCAGAGTGCCTGCTTGAGCCTTCCCTGTGGACCCTGGACCTTTCCCCTAACTACTGGACCTGTTATCCTGATGCATGCTCATCATACTGGATCTGTTCTTCGACCTCAGCTGTTCTGTGTCTCCTACTACGTGCCTCTTGGGATTACTGGACCATCTCTCTTGGACTGTTACTGATCGGAACCCAAGGCAGACCTAATACCGCCACCAGTAAGGAACTGCACATTCTGAGCAAAGACTCTCATTACCAGTGCCCTGTCAGTAATGACATCTTGCTCCCCAGGGATCCTGTCTACTTCCTGTGATTGCCGCACTGTAAATAAAAGCACTGAACGGATCTTCATGTGCCGAGTGTTCATTCTCAGTTCTCTTTCACTCTGGGTATTCAGATCTTATGACAGCATCTTTGTTTTAAGCTCCACGTGGAAAACTTGGTAAAGAAACTGAACGTTAAACTGGGTTGGATGTTGGATGCTGTCTATCACGGTGCACTAAGATTCATAACTGGCTGTAACTACCATACCCACCACTGGTTAACTGGTCACCATTAACTTCACACAGACTCTCCCACTGGTACATTTCCATCTTTAAATCACTTCTTGGTCTGTTGCCTTCATACATCTCCTCCTACATGTCTCTGTGTGAGTGCAGCTACAGCGTGCGCTCTCAGGACATCATTACCTGCAGTGTTCCCTCAGTGAGGACTGAACTAGACAAAAGGACCTTCTCCTACTCCGCTCCTGTTCGACCTTGACCTCTCCAAGTGGCTTCAAACATCTGAAATGTTCATGGCAAAAACCAACAGACACGTTCCTGTTTTTATAATTTTACATCGCTTTATAATGTAGCTGTTTGTTAACATAATTTTCTTCCATTTGTTTTTCAATGTATATGTTTTTAATGAGTGTCTACTGTTGTCGTCATTCTTTGTTAAAGCAGGTCTCCCCTGTAAATGAGACCAACTGCATAAATACCGGTTGAATGAAATTAGATTACAAACATTAAAGTGACGTAGATCCAGACCCAGACATTATCGTCTCTTCTGCTTGAACAAGAGCTAAAGAAGAAGAGTGTGATAAGCCAAGGTACAATGATGATAACGACAGTACTGGTAATAATGTACGACTGCACCAGTCTCTCTCATGGTTATATTATTACGACTTGGACTGGGTCATTACGAGCCCCAGACCACCAGCTGTGGTGCCGAGTGGACTTGAGGTGTCTGGTGTCACAAACAGGACACTTACCCTGCTCCTCCTTCTCTGACGGTGTTCTTCTTCTACAACATAAAAACAAAGTATGGTCACAGTCTGGTTGATGAAGGGTCAGTTTACAACAAGACAAATACGTTTTAGCTCATGTGAATACTTAGTGCTGAACAACTGCACTGAGGAAGCTGAAAGTGAAGTCTTTAAGTTAGAGAACGAACAACACTAGCTAAAAGACGCTAAACATCAAAGGCAGCTAAATGCTAGCTATACAATATAATTGTAACAATAAGCTAACTAAACGTTAAGTGTCACTAAAGGCTAGTAGTTAAATAACCAAAGTAGCAAAACGTTAGCTAAAAGTAGCAACATGAGAGATAAAATCTAAAAGCACCTAGTTAACTAAATGCTAACAATAGCAAAAGCCATGCTAAAAGCTAAAAATCAAAAGGTAGGAAAAACGTAAAATATAAAAAATATAAAAGGCAAAAGCAACAAAGGGTTAACTACAAGCTAAAACTAGCAATGATTAACTACAAGTAGCAGAACTGTAGCTAGAAGCAAAAGGTAGCAAAATGCTAACTACAATGCTAAAAGACTAGCTGGAAGCTAAAACAATCGAAAAGCTAGCTAAAAGTTAAAATCTCTAAAGTATACTTAGGCAAGTAACAAAAGGCAAACTAAAACTAAAAGCAGCTAAAGTTGAGCTAAAAAACAAAAGGCTAACTGAATGCTAAAAAAACAGCTAAATGTTATGAAAGCTAAAAGCTGACTAAAATAAATTATCAAAAGTCTAGCTAAAAGTGTCAAAAGGGTAAGAAAACCTAGAAGTAAAAAATGACTAGCTAAAAGAAAAATAAGAAAAAGAGTAGCTAAAGGTAGCAGCATGGAAGCTAAACCTTAAAGCAGCAAATCGATGCTAAAAGTAGCCACA